ATAAAAAATAATCACGGAAATACAATATAACCCAAAATCTACCCTAATAGAAGTTTGGAAGGAGGAATTAAGTTGCAGTGAGAGATAAATAGACAATTGGATGAAATCAATCAATAAAATAAAACATCTAAAGATGAAAGAAATGCAATGGAAAATACTGACAAAATGGTACAGAACTCCCATGCAATTGGCGCATATTACGAGAACATGCCCAAAATTATGTTGGCATAACTGTGGAAAAACAGGTACATACACCCACATGCGGTGGGAATGCAAACATATATATATATATATAAGTTCCATGAAATAATCAAGAAGGAAATGTAGGAGCTATTAGGTATAAATATAGAATGGAACAAGACCCAATTTTTCACTCAGGAATTGGAAAGTAATGGGGAATTTAAAGAACGGGAGGACATAATAAAAAAACATGATGGATGCAATCAAAGCCTCAGTGACCCTAGGCTGGAAGGACCACAAGAAATGGGATATAAAAACTTAGTATAAATATCTAGCTGACTACCTACTCCAAGATTATATTAGTGAAAGGAAAAGTTACTATAGGACAGGCCAAATCAGAAGGACATGGGAGGCAAAATGGAAGGGTCTCATTTGCAGAATAAAGGGGAAAGATAAATATACAGAGTTAAACAAGACTACCCTCATGATTGAACAATTGTAATAAGCACAGCAAAAGTCGTTAACTATTCCTGGGTGGGGTGAAGGGGATGGGTTTGTGTTGGTGGTGGGATTGGGGAAAATACTGGTATTTTGACTGTTAATTTTGAAGATTGTATGTTCCTATGTATTACACAATAAAATTAAAAAAATTAAAATCTGTATCACTATGTTCTTACATTATTTTACTGTTTTTCTTTGATGTCTACTTTTATGATATTAAAGTTATTAGTGTATTTTGTAATGGTCTAAAACCTGAATTTGATTAAATATTAAATAAATAGTTGCTATGTGTTGTCAACGTGGCTTTAGAACATGATAACTCTATGACAGAGACCAGATCCAGACAGGCCCTTGTCTCAGAAGCATCTGCATTAAAAATCCACAGATGTTTCTGGGGGCCTGTCCACACCCACCCCAGAAAGTGCACACTTTCTGCCGTGGGTTATCTACACATTATCTTAAGAGGCCCTACGCTCCTCCCTCCAAGCCCCCAGATTCCTTAGAAAACTAAGAAAAACTTACATGCCCTCCAGTTGAAGCCCCAGCAGGCTCTCCCAGCATGTAGAAATGATGCAGCAGGAGGGGGGCGGTGATTTTTCTCCCTCTTCCGCTCTCCTGGTGCGTCATTTCTACACTCCAGGAGAGCCCACTGGGGCTTTAACTGGAGGACACATAAGTTTCTCTTAGTTTTTTTAAAGGATCTAGGGGCTTGGAGGGAGGGGGTGGGTATTCCAACAGTTTACCTGACCTGTTTAGCCTGATAAACTGTGGGAATACTGTCTGGACTGCAGTATTCTGCAGTCCAGTCCCGGAAATAGTGCATTTATCCCATGCCTTCCAAGAAGGTGTGGAATAAATGCACTATCAAATTAATTCGCTACAAACCCATGGGAAGATGAATCATTATAGTAGTTTTACTCCTGCTGAGGGAAAAAGTGAATACTCCTAAGCAGTATTCTCTCGTATATGACTGTCCTGAAGTGTTATGAAGGAATTATTTTGCAAAGGAAAAACATGGTTGTTTTTATTAATCCATTTCCTGCTCAAGAACCCATTTTATGTGCATGAAAGCTATTACCTACACAGAAAACTGGTGTGTATGTGTGTATTTGTTCACACATGCAAAATCTATTTCTGTATGTTCAAAGATGAGAAAATTACACAAAATTCTTCCCGACTGCCAAGAAACCTTAATTACAATTATTTCTTCCCTCCTTGTAAAAAATTCCTCCAGCATATTTGATTTCCCCACCTTCCAACAGTTTTCTTCATTGTTTTTACGTCAGTTTTTACATCAATACATAGAAAATTGAAATATGTGTTGTTGAAGGCTTTCATAGCCGAAATCACTGGATTGCTGGACTGTATAGCCATGTTCCAGAAGCATTATCTCCTGATGTTTTGCCCATATCTATGGCAGGCAACCTCGGAGATTATGAAGTCTGTTGTAAACTAGGCAAGTGGGGTTTATACAATCAGGGCCAGCTAACACCTCCCAACAAAGGATTCCCCCAGGCAGGAAGCAACCAGGTTTTGAAGCTGCAAAGCTATTCAATGCTAATCATGCTGGCCAATTGCAACATTCACATTTGCCTCAAAGAGACAAGAGTTCTTTCTCCCACCCTGGACATCCCACAGACATCATTTTATTTTGTTAACTATTTTAAGTGGGGTTTTTTAAAATTTAAAAATATGTTTATGGTTTTTAAAAATATTTTTATCATATAAACTGGCTTAAATGTGACTGATTGATTTTACTAGACACCATCCTGAGATCATTGGATATGAAAATGCCTATCCTTATTAGCCAACAACTACAGTAAACAAAGACCACATAAAGGTCACTTGCCCTCTATTTTCATGCCGTTCAGGATGCCAGCATGGCACCTATCAAAGAAGTGCCCAAATCTATTATTTCCAGTCCAGGAACATTCTGAAGTCACATAAAAATTGGTTGTGACAAAAAGTCGATACAAAAATAGATATGTTTCATTTGTTTATATCTGGAAAAAAAATACTTATAGTTTTTCCTTTAATAGTGTATTATGATATTCAGCAAAGAATCAATGGAAAGGGCGATGAAATGCAGAACACATTTCAGGTATTGCAATTGGGGTTAAGTGGCCTCATCAATTAACTGTGGGGGAAAGAGAACAATAAAGTGAAGTTAGAATTTAATGATTATAAGACACCACAGTAAATCAATGAAGGAAGAATTCAAATGAGAAGGGAAACAGTGCAGGAAAAGAAGGGTTAGCATAATGTAGGTTGAAAACTATGAAGCTTCCCATATATTTACAATCACCATTCTTATGAATAATTTACACATACACATAAGTATACAGACAGTATGGCATAATGAAAACAACAATTTAAACACAAACTCAGTACATTAAATAATTTCTACCATCACATTTTCTAAAATAAACTATTTACATAGTAGATATATTTACAGTCCTCTAGAAAGTACCATTAAGTTCTTTAAAATGTCAAATGCAATAACCAAATAGGATGAAATTCTACTTGGCTCTTGTAGAGTTTGATGCATTCTGCAAGAGCAATTCTGTGCCCTTCTCCAGAAAGCAACTTCCAAACCCTGGAGCAAATTGCCAAAGCCATTTTGAAACCAAAGAGGACAGGGAATTGCCTCCACAACACCTGGTTTCAGTTCTTCTACAAATACAGTAAATAATGTTACCATTTATGCACTATGATTATATCCTGATATTGTTTATGAACCAGAATCAAAATGATTATAAACATACAATCCATAAAAAGAGAAACTGTTGAATCAACCAGACCTTCTTGGTACTAATTTCCATTTTTGAAGCAAAGCAGTACAAAAAGACAGCAGAAACTGTACTTAATGCTTGGTGTGAAATTGGCAGTTTGTACATGCTGTTTTATTTTTGTAGCAATCCAACTGAAAATTTATAAGAACATGTATATTTGGTTGTACTTCAATTGTATGAGCCCACAGCATACACACTATGATTTAAAAAAACGATCAAAGAGATATGGCTAGAATCCTAAAGGACATCATTTCTACTAGTGAAAAATGAGGAAGGTGGTGTTCCCCATTGGTGTCTGTCCCCCACCCCACCCAAGGACCCCAAAAATCTGCTCCAAAGGACTAGGAAAGCCTCTAGAGCAGGGGTACCCACATTTTTTAAAGCAGGGGGCTGGTTCACAGTCCCTCAGACTGTTAGGGGATTGGACTATAGTTTGGGGAAAAATATGAACAAATTCTGATGAATACTGCAGATACCTTACTGGTTGTGCAAAAAAGGAACAATATAATATTTAACATGAAGAACTATTTTAACATGAAGAACTATTAGGATTATTGTTGTTGTGTGTTTCCAAGTGGTTTGAGACTTAGGGTGAACCTAAGTCTAAAATTTAGGGTGGAGGTTGGGTAAATTACCTTACAGGGCAGCATCCAGCCCACTAGCGTTAATTTGGGGACCCCTGCTCTAGAGCCATTTGCAAACATTCTGGGAGAGGAAGTCAATTCCATTAAACTATAAATCAATTGTTGACATGACATTAGTGTGGGGCCTATAACACAACTCCTCCAATAAACAGTGCAATTAAAAGATTACATTTGAAAGATATCCTATAATTTGCATTCCTATAATTGGAAATTGAAAGCAATATAGATCCTCAAGCTAAACTGCACATAATGTCACCTTCAATGCTAATTAAATAAATGTAGTATTTCTTACACTGTTTTTGTACTGTTCTTTAATATAACAAGCAAGTAAACAAAAAAAGGTAGTCGAAATCAGGAACCAGTTATTTTCAGATAAAGCTGTTTATAATGTGACACACTGTACAGTAATATTGACTGAAATGATAAAAAAAATATTTGTTGACAGATGTCGATCATAAATAATCTTAACGGGAATCAATGAAAAATTCCTTTGTAGAATTCAGGCAATTAAAATAAGTCTGAACCACCATTAAACATGTTATAAAAGATTGTAAAATATTCCATAAGCAGTTTGCTCACCAACAACTGAAATTGTAGGCACTCCTAATTGACAATGTTCATATTAAATAAATAAATAAATACTATCCTTGAACTCCATTGCTTACAGTCCAATTTCTTTTCAACACTAAATGCATTTTTTCGAAAATATGCCTCACTGCAAAGCCAATGGAGTCAGACTGCAAGTTAGATGGTTTTGTACATGTACATGAAAGTATAGCCTTTGAGTAATACACTACCATTATATTTATACAAATTTTGAACAGTCTCCTGCATATGTTTGCCATTAAATTGCTGTAGAGATTTAGAAGTCATTGTTTCCTACCAGCATATGGAACTGGGGCATCTTTATCCAAAGCAACCAGTGGTGGATCCAGAATTACGGTGTCATTGTTTTCAGTAATAACTCCATGATAAGACGTTTCAATCCATGGCTTGTGCTTGTTCACTGGAAAGAATATAAAAAGATTTCATCAGTATATTTTTTCAACTTTTTCATTATGATTCTTTTTAAAATTGGAAGAGATATTTATGCAATTATTTTCAATAAAAATTATGAAGTAGTTTTCTCTTTTTGACCAAAGGTAAGCTGTAAAAAGAATTGGAATTAAATTTTGGAACACTACCAACACCAACATTACATATCTTCTTACATCTGTCTTCCAGTTCACTAGAAAGGCTAAACCGGAGAGGAATATCTCAAAAAACAAACAGAAACCCAAAGTGTTGGAATATTTATTATGTATTTCAGCACATATTTTCCTTTCAAAAACACTTGACCTATAAGTCTTCCCTAAATTCCAAATTAGAACAGTTCAATGCTTCCTTTAGATCCCATTGAAGGAAAAACTCTAGTCAATGTATAAATTATTTTTCACATCAGTATAATATTTGTATCCTTAGAAGAATTAAGTTGGAGCTCTATGAAGAAAAAGGACAATATTCAAGATTGTTTTCATAACACTGAACTGTTATTTTAAGATAGAGATACTATATGCACACTGATTTCAGTAGCATTGTACTAAGCACCTAAATGCCTTCAGTACCCCAGATCCTGTTTAATCTTGGAAGCTAAGCAGGAATCAGCCCTGGTTAGTACTTGGATGGTAGATCATCTATCAATAGTAAATGCTGTAAGTTACATTTCATAGGAAGGAACTAGCAAATTGTTTCTGAGAACTCAATACCTAAGGACACATCTGTACAGACCATGAATGCAGTTTCAAGCCAACTCCAATCTGCAGTTGCTAGAAAACTGATGCCTCCAAATCATGCTGCAATGATGACTAAAAAGTATAAAGCACATTCACAGGAAAGATCAAATAAAACCCTTTAATGTGCTTCAGTGAGCCCTAAATATAAACCACATCACATGGTGAAATCAGCTCTGAAGTATGCAAAGTGCATTGTAAATACCGAGCTATACTGGAGCACAATTAAAATTCAGAAAGCAGGTGGGATGTTTGTGCTGAAAAACACTCCAAGAGTGTGGCTGGACCGGGGGGGGGGGGAGTAGCTGGCCCCTGGGACAGGTAATTGATTACTTCTGCTATTAACTTTCTCTCTGTCTCTAGAGTGCTGGTGTGCATCTTGCCCAGAAATGGAAAAAATGCTGTACATTCTAGATCCGGTTTGAGGCCAAGTTCAGAGGTTAATGTAATCTCCATCCTGGGCTCACATCTATTCATATCATGGCAATCTAATAATACGCACAGTGTAACCGGTTTCTCCAAAACTGGTTTAAAATCAACCTAAGCTGTCAGAGTAGACATGCCCTCAGTCAACAACATGATTGACCACAGCGTTGTGGAAGTTTATCAACAGTTCCCAAGGGCAAACCTATGCAGAGGGTTTTACAGTAGTTCAGAAAAGGTGCAATAAAAGCATGTGTCATCAAACCAATATTTGACTTCTTGACAAAAAGGTGCAGCTGGAATACTACTTTTTATCATGCAAATACACTCTCTGTGATAACTGAAACCTGGAGTTCTAGGCTGAGATCCAAGTCCAGGAACACACCTGAGTGTAATCCCATCAAGCACAAGGTGAATTTCATATTCATTGATCTGCCTTCCAAATGGCCAGTAACACTTCTGTCTTGTATGGATTAAGTTTTAATTTACTCACTTTCATCCAACTCATTACTGATAGAAGGCATTGGTTAAATACAGAATAGATTCCTTGGAATCAGATGGAAGGGAGAAATAGAATTGTGTGTCATCTATATAAAGATGCAATTTTGGAAATTTGTCAGTTCTGAAGAGCATCATTCAAACCTGGAATGTACAATGCTTTAGTGTTCCTTAAGAGATGCCTTGAAATATCGCCAGGTAAAGGACATGCTTATTTAGCTGTGTCCCCACAGTTGTCCATTTCTGGAAAATATGAAGTCACAGGGCAGGGCAAGTCATGAAGTATCCCACATTTTTACACTGGAAGAAATTAAAATCTGTCAACTGGGGAAAAAAAAAACCTTTCCTTCCTGATTTTTTAAAACTTCCCTCTTCACATTTTTAATATTCACTTCCATGAGATGTCACTTCCGAAAACTATGGTGATGGATACATTCATTATAGTCATAGAGCAAACTCACAACAATATTTCTAGTGTCGATATAGAATGATAACCATGTGTACCCTGTGATAACATATTCCATATTTTAATACACTAGTGAATATAGTTTTCTCTTTTATGTGTCTTTCCATTTTTCAAAATAGCTATTTTCTTCCCTACAATCCATGAGCAAACTTCAAAACGAAACTGTCATACACCTTAAATGGTTTAGTCTTTATTCAGAACTGTGTGACCTTTCTTCCCAGCACTGTACTCTGAAAATGGTTTCTTATCTCCCAGTACTTGTTCATCAAATTCAGTTCCTCTCAGTTTCTGGATAATGTATAATACTGTAGTCTATTTGCATGGAAATTAGGGTTTGTGCAGTTGAGTTATGCAAAATGTTGCTGGGGCAAGAAGTTTTTTAACTTCCCAATATTGTATTATCTAAAGTTTATTTCTGAGCGCTTCTAATGATCATGAAGCTCAAGCAGTTAACAAAGTCTGAATGGCACAAACCTTTCCCCATCCATTCATCTGTAATTGAAATAATAAATTCTTGCTATTAGTGAGAGAAAATATGCTCCTTAATTGGCTGTATCAAAATGTTTGGTGAAAACTAATAACTTAAGAGTAAAAGGCTAGGTTGTTTGAAATGTCAGAGCTTTCTCTTATGTGCCATAATGTCTTTCCTCATGTATAAAAGTGTAGAGAAATTGGGGGGAGGGGGAGAAAGATGGGGATTAATTATCTTCTGAGCTTCTGATGTGGGTGGCAACAGGAGAAATTGTGGGAAAAACACATGGGATGGGATCTTTCAGATTTCTCAGGTCGTTGCGGTTTAGTGACATGGAGCAAAGGGCGGCCGGTCTACTAATGCTCCTTCAGACGGTATGGGTCCCACTGAAAGAAGTGTTTAAAAGGGTGCCTCAGCTCTCCTTTAGTGGGAGGGTCTTGGGTGTAAATGACCCCATGGAAAGTATTGTCTTAAGAATGATTCCTTAAGAGAGGTGCCTTACCTTGCTTTAGTGATAGGATCTTGAGGGCAAACAACCACAGGGAAAATGGTGTCCCAAAAAGGATGTCTGTTTAAAAAGGTGTACTGTTATTCGCCTGTCCGTGTGATGGGAAATAAGTGGATGGTTGCATTAGCAGCCAGAGGAGACAATCTTGTGTGATGGGGGTGAGCAAATTCTTCGTCGTCTTTAAAGACAGAACCCCATGAAACACTACACAAAGATTATTTAACCTGCTTCCTCCCATTTTCCCCAGCTTTGTCTGATGAAGTCCATAGTGTGAGGATATGCTTAGATCCAAGTTTGTCATTGCAAGTCCAAGTGACTTCACTGGGCATGAAAAACTTTTGCCTAGCTCCAACCATTCCTTCACAGAAGTGGCTTAATCATTGCCTAATCATCTCTTCTCTTGGTTAATCATTGCAACATGTGAAAGTGGGTAACTGGGACAGACTAGGGATTTTGCTTGTGTACCACCCACCTAGCTACACAAAAGTCTCCCTGTCTGAGCTAGTGGAGGTGTTCTCAGACCTGGCACTGGAGTCTCAACAGCTAATAGTGCTGGAGGCCTTCAACATCCTGTTGAGTCTTCCCGGTCTGGGGCAGCTCAGGGTTTCATGGCTGTCATGACAACTATGAAGCTGTCCGAAATGATATCTGGGCCCACTCATGTAGGTGGACCCACTCTTGACCTGGTTTTTAAGGCAGTCAGGAATGGAAATGTTGGTATGGAGGAACTCTCAATTGTTCCGTTGTCACGGACCGACCATCATCTGAGTAGGTTTAGACTAACCACAGCCTCTAACCTTAGTGGGGGGGGGGGTTAAGTCTGGTCCACCCCAGGAGACTTATGGATCCAGATGGATTCCTGATATCTCTTGGGGAGCTTCCTGTCATGGCAGCAGACAATCCTGCTGAAACCTGGAATACAGAGATGACAAGGACAGTGGACACGATCACACCTGAACATCCCTTCTCGCTTAGCAGAGCCAACTCAGCTCCTTGGTTCACCGGGAAGCTGGTGGTGATGAAGAAAGCAAGATGAAGACTAGAGTGTCACTGGCAAAGGACTCAGGATTAATCCAACCGAGCATGGGCCAGAACCTCACTTCGGCCCTATTTCACAGAAATGAAGGCAGCCAGAAGGCCTCTCGGATGCCTGTATTGCATCTGCAATGAATACACCAGCAGAGTTGTTTCAAATGGTCAGGGGACATCTCCATCCTGGTTCTCAGGAGGAGACACCTGACCACTCGGTGACTCGATGTGGTGAGTTTTTCCATCATTTTGCAAACAAAGTATCTCAGATACACTCCGAACTGGATGTCAATTGAGAGGAGTATTTTATTCCTTTGGAGAATTAGGTTGTGCTTTGAGGGGGTATCTTGCTTTTTTGGCTGACTCCACCCCATTATCACTCTGAAACATGCTGGGTGTTTTACTTAAGTGTTTGTGAGAGAAGATTGGGAGGATCCCAAAGGAGGCTTTCAGTTCTTCTATAGATTTGTTAATTGCCTGGATCCGTTCAAATAAAGCAAGTATTGTCTCTGTAGTTAATGTGTCGTGGTTAGCCATTAGATTGTAAGCGTATTCTTTATCCTTTGTTACATTCTCTTCAGCAGAGATAGAGAGCTCAATAGAGCCATGCTCTGGCAGGCCTTGATCATCAGACTCCAAGGTGGAGTTTATTCCCTCTAAGTGACCCCTAGAACAGTCCATAAAGGAATTAAGTTGGGACTTACATGAAGGGTCCTTATTTGGTAGTAGGTCTGTGATCTTGCGTTGTTTGGGGACAGTCTCGTCATTTTCTTGATTATTTGGAAGATTAGTTCTCTGGGGCCTCCGTTTTCCTTTCCTTTTCCTGTTGGAAAGCCCAGCG